CAGCAGGTCCTTGTCTGTAAAGGGGTGATGCTCCTCCTTTCCCTTGGCCAGTCTGTCCTGACCAGTTTCCCAAAGCAAGTGCAAATGAGCATCAGAAACTGGAAAGGAAAAGCTCAAAAGCCCTATGTCACTGTTGTCTCTCTGTTCTTCAGCTCTTCTGCAGTCGGGGATGAAGCTGTGCCCTGTCTTCACTTTTAGGAAGCTCAACTGTCCCTGATTGGCACCCAAAATTCAGGCAGTGTAAAGAATTGGGGTGCCTGTGTCCATGCACACAACTCTCCATTTTGAAGGGGAGGGGAAATTATCCAGATCAGATGCTGTGTCCCACCAACCTGCTGGAGAAAACCTTTAGTGATCTGCCAGTGCATGCTCAGACTGACAGCAGCTTTTCCAAATGCCATCCAACTTGGAGGCAATAGGGAAAGCTCAACAAATAAACCTTCCTTGGGTGCCATGCTCATCCTCATGGCATCCCAGGGCCTCTTGGCAGCACTGTGATGTGTTGACTCATCCACTGGACATGTTGTTTGTTCTCTTCCTGCCAGGAGAAGCATGTGGATGGCTTGTTTTGGTAGGGTTGTTTGTCTTGTTTTACTTATTTCTTGGTATTTGTGCATGAGGAGAGAGCTGGCAACGAAAGTGGGGGTGCAGGGAGATTCCCATGATGAAGGCTCCCCCTCTTTTTGCTAATAAATGATGGAACTGCTCCAAAGGGTGAGGAAGACAATGGTGCATGAGCATGATTTGCTCTGTGCCATCCTGGGGATTATTTGTAGTAGATTTCTACTATTTCCTTGATAAAGAAAGTCTCATTTGCCACAAGTTTTAACTGGCACAAAGTCAGCAGTGTAGTCTGAAGCACTTCGTGGCCAGAGCCGATCTGAGGAGCTTTTACCTGTGGAGCTCTTGGACCAGTCCTTGCCAGTTTGGTGTTGGGGATCATGGGAATTTTGTGCCACCCAGGGATGCCACACAAGCCTGGCCCCTTTGCTGCGATCAACAGGAGTACAGGAATTTATCCACAGCATCACGTGAAGATACAGGGAGCTGCAGTCCCAGCCTCTGCCTTCAGGCAGGGAAGGATGACGTTGCGGCTCCGGTGGAAAAGGACATTCAGAGCAACAGTTTCCAAAGGAGGCTGAGTTATTATTTTGTTCAGATAAGCCCAGGAACACTGTGTGAAGCTATGTGCACATAGCAGTAGTTGAGTGCTCTGAGCAAGGGAATTCAGAACTGTCAACAAGGAGGGAATTACCGCTTTGGGGGATTGAAAACATTCATAAAAAATTCCTGGCTCCCAGCCTAGTCCATCCCATTGCTGGCTGTGCTCACAGTTGTGGATTTTTACTTTGAGGACAGATTTCCAAGTTTTTTTCCTCACTTTGCTGTAACACATGGACAAAAAGATATATCTTAACCTGGACTAGTGAGTTCCAAGCCTTCAGCCAAAGGCCACTGGCATCATGGGGAATTGCAGGGCTGTGCTGGTTTGTCCCCACAGAGCTGCTGCCTTCTTGCAGGGACCAGTGTAACAGCTGCAGCCTGAGCCCAGCAAGATGTACTTGTGTAAATCATGCTGCTGACGTTGGATTTTAACTTGTGGGCGTCCAACACTGCCTTTTCCAGACCGTGAGAGCCCAATTCCCCAAACTCAGAGGAGAACTGGCCAGGAAACATGGGGTTAAGATGACACTTCCCACATGGCCCTACTACATAACCTTAACTCTGTCCCCCCTGGGACTGGCAGTAGGAACTGCACAGGATCTTATCCCTTCTTGGCTGTACTTGATACATTCCCTCAGCATAAACTCAAGATACCAACATGAAGCCAAAGGATTAGAGGGTTACGTCTACGCTGTTAAATGATGGAGGGGCCTGGGTTTATCCATGGCCTCAAGGTGGATGGCCATGAGGGATTGAGAATCATCATTCTTTTTGGCTTGTGGAGAGCTCGAGTTGAGTATCTTTGGTCATGATGCGGCTGGGACTGCTGCCTGGAGGCATCCAGACGGGATCCCATGGATTCTCTGAGAGCACTGCAGGGATGTGGGAAAGGAGTGTTTGTCCTCATTGCTTGGCAGCTGTGTGCTGCAGCATGGCAAGCTGAAGTGGCTTTGGGATCTCTGTCTCGTATTCATCCTCTGTGCCTTACCCTCATGGGGATCTGTCTGCGTTTAACTTGATGTGGTGTCCTGATTTTTCCCTTGGTGTGTGCTAGTCTTCAAATACTATTTTTCTGCCATGATTTCCTTTCTTGCCCCCTTTCCTGCCCTCCAGCAGGACCTGCTGTCAGCGTGTGACCTGAACACATGAGCTGTCCTTTATTCTGGTGCCAAAAAACCCCACAACATAAAAAATCCAGACCAATCTTGGCAGTCTCCTTCAACAGGATTTATCTTCCCAGCCCTTGCAATACCCTCCCAGCCCTGCAAAGCAATCCATCTCTCACCTACTATTACGGAGTTCATCTCACAGACCTAATGGAGTACGTGAGTCCTGAATTGGCTCCCACTAATGCTCTCAGTGGCCGGGTCGCTGTGGGAAGCAAGCTGGGAATTCATTTTGAAAATCGATGAGGATGCCAATAGAGCGGCTTTCCCCAGGGAAGTGACATGCTTTTACCAGACATTGCCTCCTGCCCCCCTTCATCCTCCATTTTCATTTATGTGGTTGGAGTAACTGTGGAGTAATTCATCCTAATTTCAATGAGTGCATCTTTTGCACTGTGTTCTCCAGTTTCCCCAAACCAGACTGATTTTTGGAGAAAGATTAAGGTCTCCTGGCAGTGCAGAATGCCAGGTCTCCCTGAAGTGTTATCATTTGAAGTTGCTGTGCCCTGGGGTGTTGCTGGGGACTGTCTCCTCTGTGCAGCCCCATCTCTCCCCTCAGGCTGTGTTAGCACAAATAAATCAGTGTTATTTCTAACTCCTGGGTGTATTTTGCCTTGCCATGATATTTTGATGCAATGGCAAGTGCAGAGCCTGCAGGGATAGTGTGAGAGGACAGCTCAGAGCTATTGGAGGGACCCCAATGCTGTGCATTTCAGAGTTGTCCCCAGAGGTGACCTTCATGCTGGGATGGGAGCACAACATCAACCTGTCATCCTCACCATGCCCAAAGAGGCTTGGCCAAAGCACAGTGCCATGGGCAATTCTTGGTGCTGGTTCAGGAGGTGGCAAGATGGGGCTGCTGAGGGGCACTTCAGGTACAGCACCCCTATTTTTGATGGCAGTGTGGGTTTGGGATCTCTCATCCTGGTTAATCTCAAAGCACTCAATTTGGAATTTTCATAGCTCTCAAGACTCCTTTTCCAGTGGGGATCATTCTGCACTGCTATGGGATAAATATTTAATAAGAATGAGGGTCAAGACACTGTTTTGTCCGGGGACACTGAGATGGCCATTTACTCCCATGAAGAGCCCCAGGGGATCTTTAATGCCCATGCAAAAAACACAAGAATCAGAGTTTTAAGCTGTCATCCCCCACCATTAATGTCAATGTTAAATATCGATCCTTTCTGTGTTTAGCACAAACCAAACAACACAGTCAAGGCAGGCTCTTTGGCTTTTATTAATGTACTTTTTGTGCACTGGGTGAAGTTTGCAGTAACACCAGGGAAAAAAATGTAGCAGCTGTGAATGAGCAGCAGACAGATTGATTTTGTATCTTGACATGATTCAGAAGTTGGTGAAAAATCACCCTGCATGGAGCTTCTCCTTGTCTGAGCCACTATAGCCACTTTGTAGAGTGTTTTCTCATTTCTCTGTAGCATAAAGGAGTCAGGTGCAAAATTTTTGGTAGGGTCTGGAATTTGAGGGAAGGAATGGAAAAAAAAGGTTGGTAATCTATAAAAAGTTGCTCATCCCTGTGTTGGAGCATGGATGCCTGAAGTCAAATTTGAAGAGCTGGTGAACATCATGTCAGGGAAACCTGAGATCCATCCCCAAATAGGTTGTGGCTAGAAAATGTGTGGATTTCCCCTTTTTGTTGGGGTTTGGGTTTTTTCTCTGTTTTGTATCAGCACCAAATAAATGTAAATCACACTTACTATATGAAGTGTGACTTCTGCAAACCACAGTGAGTGGTTTTCACATGTCAGGAGTGCATGGATAGTCTTCTGTGTCTGTGGTCTTCTGCAACCAGAGATGGATCAGCATTTCCAAAATATTCTGCAGTTTGTGGGTTTCCTGGGTGTTTTGGTTTTGTTTTGGCTTTTTTGGTTTTGGTTTTGTTTGTTTGTGGTTTTTTATTTTATGGGGATTTACAGCTTGGCTGTAAAAATTCATCTGTGGTTTGAATTAATGAAGCGCACTTATGAGAGGGCTGGAGTAGCTGGGTGATTATTCCTGACTTCTGAGATATTCTCCATTGAAATTAATTTAATATTTTAAAGTCTGTTTCTCCTTGAGCAGGGGGAGTGGGGACTAAGAGTCACATCTTGGGTCTGCATCCCTTTAAATTCACAGAAAACAGCAGCAACTCTCTGGAGGTCACAAAATCAATACAGAATTTGGAAACATGAGACTATTTTTTGTCTTTGCTGTCATTATGTCCATCTATATTCCCACCCTATTCCTCAGTTAACCCAAGTGTAAAGGGATAGCAGTGATGCCCTTACACAGAGGGATGGAGGTGACTTGGTCACATCTCACTGCAGTGTGAAAGCTCCTCTCTTTTAGATCGGGTTTAACAACCCACTGAGCTCCCCATGAAATAGGCTGACATCCTGCAGACATCCCAGCAAGCCACTAAGCATGTGACAAAGCATTATAAAATTAGGAAATGTGGTTTATGATAAAATATAATAAATATTTATTTCCATACATGGTGCCTGTAGTTGCATGTGCTCTGAGTAGAGAAGCTGAGAGGATCCCTTGGAGCCATGAGCCATCCACAGTGACCTCCATAATTCCAGAGCATTTATGAAAGGAAAGCGCTGGGAACACGGGATGTGGGGGAGCTATGTCTGACACTCACGGGTGTGTTTCCTCCCTGCACAGACACCCTGAGGAGCATTGCCTCCATGAACCACGCCCCGCGCTCCTCCCCGGCCGAGCTCAGCAGCGCCAGCCACCACCTGCTGCGAGAGCGCAAGTCCTCAGCACCGTCCCACTCCAGCCAGCCCACCCTGTTCACCTTCGACTCGCCTGCCAGCCACCTCCAGAGCACCCTGTCTGCCAGTGCCCCCCAGGACTACCTTTTCCTGCACCAGTGTATGAGCAGAAAGTCAGAAAATGCGAGGTATTGTGGCCCATCCACTCGGGAATGGCTGAGGGGAGGGCTGGGTATGAGTGGCTCAACCCACCTCCTTCCTTGGAGGTCTGCAAAACCTGTCTGGAGAGAAAGTCCTGCATGATGGTCTCATCTCATCATGGTTGGGAGGAGGTCAGAGTGGTGACCTCATAAACTCCCAGCTTTCCTGGCTTTTCAGGTGGTGTTAAAAGCTGGCTGAAAGGCCACACCCAGAGGGTGGTGGTCAGTGGCATGAAGTCTAATTGGAGGCCAGTCCCTAGCAGTACCCCAGGGGTCATACTGGGTCCAGTTCAAAGGGGCATGAAATTGCTGAGGGGACTGGAGCATCTTTCTTAAATGGAAAGGCTGAGAGAGCTGGAACTGTTCAGCTGGCACATGAAAAGTCTCAGGGGTATCTCCCCTGTAGGGACGGTGCAAAGGGGATGGAGCCAGGCTCCTGTCAGTGATGCCCAGTGCCAGGGACCCGAGGCCATGGGCACAAACTTAAACACAGGAGAGCCCATCTGAACATCAGGAAACATTTTTTCACTGTGAGTGTGACTGAACACTAGCACACATAGCCCAGAGAAGTTTAGGAGTCTCCATCCTTGAAGATATTCAGAAGCTGTCTGGGCACAGTCCTGCCACAGCCCTAGGTTGCCCTGCTTGAGCAAGGGTTTAGACCAGATGACTTCTACAGGTCCCTTCCAACCTTAACCACTTTGTGATCCTGCAGGCAGGGCCCTGATTCCAGAAATAACCAGAAAAAGGACAAACAAAGGGATGGGCAGGGTTTGCCCTACCCTGCTGTTCACCCCTTGCAGAGCTCGCTGGCTTTCATGGCAGCTGGTGGTGCACGGTGTGGGATTTCTGAGCCAGCGACAGTCCCCGCCTCCAGACCCAGCCGGTTGCCTTAAATAGCGAGGAGTTTTTTTGACGTGGAGAGTTTTGGCTCGCAGGAGCAGGCAAGGAGGGAGGAGGGAGAGACAGTCGGAACCCAGCTGGCGTGAGTGAGAGCAGAGCTCAGGCTGCATCCACTGGGCTTTCCTGCTGCAGCTGACTTTCCCTACTCAGAAAAAAACAACGGAAAAAGGCTCAGAAAAATTAACTTCAGATAGAGTTAATAGGACAGTGTTTAAAAAAAATGGTCCTCTCACACTCCAGCTGTGAGGATACGTAAAAGCCACTCTCTGGGAACCTGAACAGGGCTGGGACCTGGAGGAGAAGGGAGCAAGCACCAATGCTTTGCTGAGCAGAAACAAACCTGGCCAGTGGTAACTTCTGCAACTGGGCCAGAGATAATGCTCTGATCAATGCCCAGTGCATGGGGTCAGGCTGCAGGACTGCTGGGAATCCCTCCCCTTTCTGCTCTGGAGCTCTTACTTTACTCATCCATAAAATGAGGATAATAGTAGCTAATTGGCAGGCAATGCAGAATAATTAACCCATGAGATGTTTCAAGTTGTGGACCAAAAATACCCTGACAGAACCGAAACCAGTTCTGGGTGGGCTGAGGTCCAAAGGTGGCAGGGATTCGTTTGTCTTATCAGAGCATCACTTGCTTTTCTCCCTAAATAAACTCTATTTCTGAGCGCCATCTCGTGCTGGCTCCATGAAACAGAGTCCCTGTTGTCCCTGCAGAGTTATCAACCACACCAGAGCAGTGTAAACCAGCATCTCCCAGCTTTTCCCAAAGGACTGGCACTTTCCCGGTGATTTGCCACAACTGGAAATTCTCCCTATAACCATTTCACTTTTTCTCACCACAGTGGTTGATTCAGGGCAGAACTTTCTTCTTGGGGGGGGGGGGTGTTTACATGGGGCTGGCTGAGCCCTTTCTGACTGGGAGAGTGTGATCCCCAAAAGCCTGACCCATGTGCAGGATAAAGCAGGGATAAAACAGGAGATGAAGTACATTGAGGGGAATCAGCAGAGCAGCAGTGGCTAACCAGGAGTTGTTAGAGGCCTGAGATCTCTGTGCTTGGCCCCTGTTTTGACGAGTCCCCAGGCATGATCGCATGTACATCAAGGAATCATTACCAAGGCATGGACCTAGTGACTGCACTGCCCTGCTCACCCTGGACAGTCCAGGACTTTTACAAATCTGAAATTAGCCTCATCATTCCTCCCCCTGTGCATCAGGGCTGCATACTGCAGATCCCAGCTGGGGACTTCTATTACCTCCCCATTGCTTGTCCTGTGAGAGGGCAGGATGATGACATGGCTGGAGACCTTGAAATAATCCCCATCAGGAATTTTTTCAGACCTTCACACATTTGCAAGGCAGAGGTGAGATGAAATCTCCCTCCTGAACTGCAGATGGGCAGTCGAGACATGATGGCAGTGCTGGCAGATTGGCACTTTGCAGCTGTGTCCTGGGATGTTGTCAGCTGGTGTGAAAATTGCCCCTTTGGAGAAATTTATGTGTGGACAAAAGGGTCATTCTTGCCTATGGCCCTGTCATGGAGCTGGGTGCATGTACCTCTCACCTATGACAGAGGCATTTTGACAGTGTTTCAGGATCAAGTGCCTTGTGGGCATGTTTGGAGGGGTCTGAGGTGTTCTTATTGCTCTGGGGCTGGGCAGTGCAGGTCAGTAAGGTGACATACAGAGGGAGCAGAGCTCCCAGAACCAGCTCTCCTCCTATTCCAACCCCTTTCTCTTCTCCCTCTGTAGGAGTGCCAGCTTCTCCCAAGCCACCAGGTCTGCCTTCTTCATGCGGAGCGACTCGGCGGTCCAGAAGCTCTCGCAGGGCAACGGGCACTGCATGAACGGCGTTGGTGGGCAGCTCCACGGCTTTTACAGCCTTCCAAAACCCAGCCGGCACAACTCGGAGTTCAGGGACAGTGCCTACGACCTCCCGCGCTCCTTTGGCTCCTACACCCACCCCAAGTCGAGCCTCACCAGCTCCGAAACTGATAATGAGGAGGTCTACACCTACAAGACTCCCAACAACACCCTATGCAAGGAGTTTGGGGAGCTCTCCACGGACTCCTATGACATCCCTGCCACCCCACTCTCCATCTACCAGATCCCCAGGACATTTACACTGGACAAGAACCACAACGCTCTGGCTGTGGCCGCCAGCGACTCACCCGCTGCGCCACCGCCACGGCCCCCGAAGCCTGGGCAGACAGAGCCACGCTGGGGCAGTCCACCCCAGCGGCCCCAGCCTGGTGAAAATTTAGGTCTCACCCCCATGGCAGCCACCATTCCCCGGAGAAACACGCTGCCAGCAGTGGAGAACAGCAGACTGCACCGAGGTGAATTTGGAGGTGGGGACCTGGGGGTGGCTTTGTGCTATTCAGCAGCCTTGGGTGGATCAGTCCCACTGGGTTGTGGTAGGGCTGGGGTGCACGTGGCATCAACCAAAACACAGAGAAACTCTGCTCACCCAGGATCTGGCCCTGGTTTTTGTATTCAGCAGGAATGGAGAGGCATACACAGAGTTCTGCCCACCAGAGCTGCTCAGCTGGCTCTTGGCTGTGTTGTACCTTAAACCAAAACCCCAAATGAGCTTGCTTATGCAGCCCTTTGCCAGATTTTTGTGATTTTGGCCACTTTTAGCTTACCTTTACTTCAACTCATATCCAGGTTTATCAGAACATACTTCAGCTTGGAAGTATGCCTTGGTTTTGCTCACAAAGGTGGGTGTGCAAAACCTGGGTTTTGCATGTCTCCAAAACCCAACAATCCCAAGTGCAGCAGAGCCATGACTGCCATTGGCCATGAGTGGGCTGAAGGTGTACATGCCCTTTCCAAACCTCGTGCCTAGGATGAAATAGTTGCAAAGTAACTTAGAAAGGTGGCTGGAGAGAAAATGCACTGTAAATTATACACACAGCTCTCTGAAATGCTTCTTCCATCTCCTCCTACCTAAATGCCCCCCCTTAGGCTGAGATCAGATTCATGCTCAGCAGTAAACAGACTGGAGTAAGAGCTTAGCATCCATCCTCCCCTTCCTGGAGGCTGCCAGCCTTTACATTTACTGAGCAAGCTCTAACAGAGCTTCCCCTTAACCCAGTTTTGTCACCATGATCTGCATTATCTGACACCTTTACCCCTGGGATTTTGCAGCACTTCAGCAGAACAGGGTTAGTCTGCACGGCACATGCAGTTGTGCTGGTGCATCAAAGAGATGCTCATTGGGAAGGAGCGTAGCAGAGAGCCTGTGACAAGCTAAAGACCACGTCTTCTCATCAGCATCTCAATCAACAAGAACAGATACTGCCCTACCAGTGCCTGGATTTTGTTTTCAGGGACCCCTTTTTGTTATCAGCTGTGGTGGGACACATGAATTTGTGGTTGTGTTGCAGCTTCTTCCTGTGAGACGTACGAGTACCCCCAGCACGGGGGCGGCAGCGCTGTGCAGTCAGTCGAGTCCATGAACGATGGATACCACTCCTACCTGGTGAGTTGGCCTTGGTGTGGCCACCACACCACAGGCACCACTTTCACCTTACAGATTCAGAGACAGGTTGGTTCCGAGTTGGCCCTCACAGCCCAGTCCTGCAGAGCTAAGTCAGGAAGGGGTCTGTTAATGATTTCTGTTTAAACCATGGTGACCTGCAGAGAACAGATGGGGTGGCAACCATCTAACCCAGCATGACGTGCAGAGCTTTGCTTAAACACAGTGTATCTGCCTGCAGCTTTGGCCCAAATAAAACTACCCAAGAGTTTGCCTTCTTCCTAAAAGCCTGGGATGCTGCTGAGCTAAATTTTGACATTTAGCCAGAACAGCCTCTGTTGTGCACTTTCTAAGATTTCCTGAGCTGGAAATGACCTTAAAGCAGCCTTTCATATTCCATTTTAGTCACAGACACAGCCTAGGGAAGAAAGACTTTCCAGGTTAAGCATGCTTCTCCAGCTCACTCTGATCATGAGAAAATGATCAGGTCTGGGTGATAAAGGCCTTTCTGAAAACTCAGGATGTTGCAATGTCTTGGAAACAAAGGGGGTAAACCCTCTCAGTGCAAACTGATGTCCAAGGAGGGGACAGATCATTCCTTCCCTTTGTGCTTAGATTTTAGAGTGAGTCTCCCCTCAGATGTTGGTTATGATGAAATGAAGGGTTTGATGGTTATGATGAAATGAAGGGTTTGTAGTGGATGGGGCTGAGCAGTGCCTGATGCTCACAGCTCATCCTCCCCCAGCAGGCCAAGGCAGCGGTGGCCCGCTCCCGCAGCACCGACTCCGAGGACAACTACGTCCCCATGAACCCCGGTTCCTCGCCCCTAATCCACGCCGAGAAAGCCAACGACAATGCCCAAAGTCTCTACATCCCCATGAGTCCTGGGCCACATCACTTTGACCTGGTGGGCTTGTCCTCGGCCACCCTTCCCATGCATAAAGGAGGAGCCGTGGCTCAGTGCCACCGGCGGCTGAGTGAAATCCAGCCCCCGCCAGTCAACCGCAACCTCAAACCCGACCGGAAAGGTAAGAACCTTTGGTTGTGCACAAATCTTTCCAGGAATCCTCCTGTTCTCCTAATACTTCAGACTACATCCGTGAAGTTGTGTCCAGTCCCAGGTGGGGTGTGCTTTGCTACTGCTGGCACAGTCAGACCTTCAGATGTCCCCCATCCTCTTCCTCTTTCAGAAGCTCTGTAGTGCAAATGTGGCTTTCATGGTGCTTGAACAGTCCATCTCAAACCCTTCCAGGCCTTTACAGGAGATGCATGTCACAGGCAAGGTTTCACCCCCTTGGCCTGCACTCCTCCCTGTGCTCCACCCCAAAATCTCCAAGTTGTATTCAGATGACACAAGTTTTTCCTACAGTTTCCTACTGGCTGGTTCCAGGCAGTTCTTCCTTCAGGGCTCTGCTGACATTCTCCAAATCTCTCCCTAATCCATTGTCTGACCAGTGACCAAGGAGATCCCGAGGAGGAGGGCTCCCATCTCTAGGGTGTCAACACCTAACCTCATGGACACTCCATTCAAGGGCTGGGGTTGGAGCATAGAACTCTTCCACCTTTTGAATCATCCATGATGAGAAGAGCTTTTATCTGCTACCCTGCAGATGTCCTTTTCCATTCCCTATGGGAATACACTCCACACAGACGTAGTTCAGGCGTGGCAGAGCCTGGTCTTGTCCCCATCTAATGCATTAGTTACCATAGATATCTAATGAGTGGTTTTGGGGTTTGGGGATTTTTAGCAGATCTCTATTCCCTGGAAGGCACATCCCCCTTTTGGGACTACCCATCCACTTTGGGGCTGTGGAGCAGAGGGAGAAATTCACTGTTCTCCCACAGTTCTGGCATAAATGAGCACAGGGGTTTTGGTTTGGAGTATTTGTCATCAGCTGGAGGGCTGGGGGCCTGATTAGTAGAATGGGAAGTAATCAACCATCTGTTGAGGGCACTTTCATGCCAGTCATGGATACTGAATTGCAGGAATATGCTGCCTCTGAATAAAGGCTTTTCCCCTCCCCAGCAAAGCCATCACCGCTGGACCTGAGGAACAACACTGTCATTGATGAGCTTCCCTTCAAATCGCCAGTCACAAAATCCTGGTCCAGGCCAACGTGAGTAATGGCTGGGAGATGATTTCTTGCTTTGCTCCAACAGCAGTTCTCTGGTCTCATTCTTACTGACATTCACAGGTAGCCATGCTGTCACCTCTGCCATGGATTAAACATTCCCCACATCGCAGCTGGTGGCAGGAAGGTAAATTCATTTAGGTTGGGATTTCACATGAAAGCCCAGCATGTGACTAACAAGATAATTAGGATCCCTTGAAGACATTTCCTGTTTCTGGGATCTGACAACTACTGGAGAGCCGTAGCTCTGACCTGGGACCTGTGGTCCGCCACAATTCATGATTCAGCTGAGCCAGACCAACTCAGCCATGCTGTGTGGGGGGCATGATTTCACATCCAAGCTATTCCCCCCCAAACCCCACTGTCATCTAAAAGCAGAGGGTGACTCTCGGGGTCTGAACAAGCCGTGTTTTGATTGCCTTGAAAGCAAAGCTTAGCCTGAAGGAAGTCTGCAAAATTAAACCAAAGCACTTCAGAGCTATGTCTGCCAGCCAAAAATAACAGGATTCGCACAATTCCAGCTCTGCTACTAATTCATGGTCTGATGTTGACCAGTAAAAGGCAGAAGCAAAGCTTGGCTGCTATGACTCCTCTAATAAATTGGATTGTGTGGAGACTGACTGCAGGGCATGAACGCTGTGTGCTGAAATCACTGCTCTGGGAAGCAGCAAGCAGGGTTTGATTGACAAGAGGTCTGACCCTGGAGAAGCTAATGGATTTTTCCCCTATCAGCTAATCATATGACCCTGCTTTACTGAAAGGCAACAAATAGCTTTTTGAGACACGTGCTTTAATGCCAGAAGCTGATTTCATTATTTTGTTTGGTATAATTAGATTTGGCCAATTGAAAGAAAGACAATTCCTCGGAGGATTTGTTTTCCTGCAAAAAATTTGGATAGGGCCTGTACGGTAAACAAATCCTGTTGCTGTGGTGGGGTTGGAGGTGAGAGGCTTCACCAAGGCTGCCCCTCTATCCTCCACAATTAAATGTTTCCTGAGAGATGAAGGAGTTTGTGGAATCTGATTTGTGTAGATGAGAGCAGGAGAGTTATAGGTACATAGAAAGCAAGGTGTTAACTAAAAAATTCTAGAAAGAAAAAATTGAGAAGACCAAACCCAAGGATTTCCAACCCATGGAAAGGATAGGCTGGAGAACCTCAGTACCACCAGCTCTTCCTCACGCCCAAACTGGATCACGGTTGCAGGCATCAGGAGCTGCCCCCTCCCATCCCTCCGTGGCAAAGGACAAGCAGGACCTGCAGCCCTCAGTAACACCTCACCCCCTGTCCTTGCAGGCAGACCTTCAACGCCGGCTCTCTGCAGTACTGTCGCCCTGTCTCCTCCCAGAGCATCACCAGCACTGACTCGGGAGAGAGCGAGGAGAACTACGTGGCCATGGTAAGGGCCCCACAGCTAAGATAGATGGTTCTGGCAGGACATACAATCTCCCCAGCTCTGCAGATGCATTCCTAGCTCGTGATGTGGAAGTGCTCAGATAGCACAATGTGGAGTACATCCTTATGTGCATCCCTCAATGCACAAAACAGGGTGTTTCCTTCTGAAGACAACATGTCTCATTGGAGCTTTAAATGTGTATGAGAGGAGAAACATGTATCACCCACTTTGCCAGGAATTAAGAGGGATTTAAAATTTATAAGACTGTCAGGCTGTATTTTCCTAATTAAGGTTGATTTTTTTCAATTTTTTCCCCTAATAGCTGCTGACATCATGTTTCTGTGGGAGCAGGGGCTATCAGAGCAGAAGCAGGGAGTGGCACTGCTTACAGGGAGGGGATTTTGTCTGTTTTGGTGAAGCTACTGACTCGAAGCATATTTTTGAGGCTGTGTAATTAATGGGGCAGAGGAAATCTGTGCTCTGTGCAGCATGGTTGTGATTAGCAAAGATCCCAGAGCTGGCCTGGCCTTGCTGAGGTGTGGTTCTAGGAACATACTAAAGCCCACGTCTCCTGTCAGGCATGTGAATAAAATCAGCACAAAGGCAGCAGAGCTGCTCTGATACAAAATGAAATCAAGAGCATGAGACTTGAAATATTTGTTAACACAATATATAGCATTTATAGTATCTCAGCAGTTCTTGCATATCCTTGTCCCAGAGGCAGGTGAACAAATATCCAGGCTCTTTTAAAGGTGCCTCCAACATGTTTCATTTCTGGATTTGTGTTAATTTCCTTTTTTCTTTCTTCCTTCCCACTTTAATCCTCATTATCTCTCCTGTCTCTTCCCTGCATTAGCAAAACCCCATTTCTGCTTCTCCTGTTCCTAGTGGTACCAACAGCCCAGCGCCTAAAAAGAGTTCGGGGAGTGTGGATTACCTGGCCCTGGACTTCCAGCCAAGCTCACCAGGGCCACACAGGAAGGTATGGGGGATTTTATAAACTTCTGAATAAAAAGTGATGCATTTTTAAGGGGTTCTATGCACATTGGCAACAGCATGGTACAAAGCCCAGACTGTGGTCTCAGGAATCTCTGATGCTCAGAGGGCTGGAGCACCTCTACGATGGAGGCAGGCTGAGCCAGGTGGGAGGAGGAGGAGAAAAGGCTCCAAGGAGACTTTAAACCATTTTCCAATGCCTGAAGGGCTAAAAGAGAGGTGGAGAGGGACTTTTGACAAAGGTATACAGTGACACTAAAGGGGTAATGGCTTCAAACTGTCAGAGAGCAGGTTTGGATTAGATATTAGAAAGAAATTCTTTACTATGAGGGTAATGAGGCACTTGAACAGACTGCCCAAAGAAGCTTTGGTTGCCACATCCCTGGAGGTCTTCAAGGCCAGGCTGGATGGGGCTTAGAGCAACCTGGTCTAGTGGAAGGTGTTTCTGCCCATGGCATGGTTGAAATGAGATGATCTTTAAGGTCCCTTCCAACCCAAACCATTCTGTGACCCACTGCTATTATTACTCTAGGTCAAACTCAGTCTCTCTTGCATGTCTGCAGCTTTGCTGGCAGTGCAAAGCAGAAGCATGGATGTGCAGGGTTCAGGGATGCTGATGGGACCACAAACTCAGCTGGAGTTTGAAAACCTGTCGGGAGGTATCCCCAGAAGTATCAGAATTGGTTTTTTCCTCCTACAACAACAGCTCCTCCTAGACCAGACTTGGATTTTGCATCTGAAAGGTGAAGGACTAGGGTTGTATAAACATCCATGGCAACTATTTGTGAGTTGGCCTCACTTTCTCAAATACCACCTTGTTTCCTAGGCAAAGTATCCCACTGGTTAGGTCCTTTTATTATTTGACAGTTGTCCCTTGATGGTTTCTTTCTGCCCAGCAATATTTCTGCAAGTATCACCCATTTAAATTATATCCCATTCTGGAAAAGTGATTTTAGACCACTAAAAAGCATGATCTGGCTCCAGTTACAAGGAGATGGAGGTCCTCTGAAATGCTTGTAAAGTCAGAAAAAACTTCAGGACTCCAGAAGTTATGGTAAAAAGTATCTCCTTGTTCTCAACACAAGTATCTCCTTGTTCTCTTGGGAGATCCTGCAAACATATCTATTGTTTGGGGATGAAAATGAGCTAGTGCCATAGGTGGGTAGAGTCAGCACAGCTAAAAGGTATAGAGCTGGTATTTCTATGTGTATCCCTAAGAGTTCTGGAGTTCTTTACAGGAAAATGAACAAGATGCAAGGCTGAACTCAAAAAATCAGCAGTTAGAGAACACAATTACAACCAAACATTCATGTCCCAAAGTTTGTGAGAAGGTAGAGACCCACATGCTGTTTCTACCCTCCCATTGCACTGCAGTTTCAGGCCAGCAAGAGGCAGAGCAGATTGAAATCCTTCATCCAAGTATCTTTTGGAGGTTAGAGGGAGGGTGATGAGCTGTGAAGTCTTCAAGAAAGCAGGAATGGTGCTGGTGGGCTTGTGGCACCCACTGTGCTGCTGCAGAAAGGAGTGAGAGGGAAGAGCAGGGAGCTGATGAGTGACCAGACGGTGCCCTGTTTCTCCTCCCCACAGCCCTCCACCTCGTCGGTCGCCTCAGACGAGAAGGTTGATTACGTGCAAGTGGACAAGGAGAAGACACAGGCGCTGCAGAGCACCATGCAGGAGTGGACTGATGTGCGGCAGTCCTCGGAGCCTGCCAAGAGCATGAAGCAGTAGTGCCTGCGGCAGGCAGTAGAACCGGAAAATGTCCTGTTGGTTTTCCCCAGCTGCAGCCCCGCTGGGCTGCCACACCCACTTGGGCTGGATTTCTAAGACTTGTCTGTGGAGGGGAGGGGGTGTCATTGGTTTGTTTTTTTCTCTTAAAACAAAACTTAATTTCAGGGGAAGACTTGGCAGATACTGTTTGCCAGTGATAAAGACCAACTATGTTTGGTGGCTAGGTTTGTGCTTTAGCTGCTGGATGCACTATCCAGGAACTTTGACTTAGCAATACCAGGTTTCACCCTACACATCTGTTCCTTACAGCTATTAAAGCCACCTTGTATGTTCTAACACTGCATCATCTCTCCCCGTCTTCTTCCATATCGTACCCTAAACCATGCCACACAGGTTTGCAGCATCTCCCATAGGATATGATATCATTGCCCAGCTCTGATTCTCCACTCCTTATGGTTGTCCTCTGCCTCCTCCCAGTCCCAAAACTGAGCAAGGACCATTGCTTTTGAAATCACTTTTATTGTCCTGTCTCTTGTAAATAATATGTTCAAAACCTCTGAGGGCTGTTCTGCTCTTGGCTGGACAGCCCCCAAGGTTTGGGTTGGGGTTGTTAACCTTCAGGAGCTTGACACACCATCCCCACCATCCCCTTGAGTTGACTTAGGAGCCCAGGACTTGCTCCATCATACACACATACATGCCAGCACATGCTCTCATGAGTCTGTTGAGTTGTCTTCTGTTTATATTCTCCATTACTCTCAGAGTGAACGGGCTGGAGAGATTGGTTTTGGAAGGGGCTGGAGGGATTGGCTTTGGAAGGTACAATTTAAGCACTGACCCACTGCCTATCCGAAACCAATTCCTGTGAATCTGACCCTAAAAACCACAATTTGCCTTTTGTGGCACCAGAAGAAGCCCATAGAGTGAGAGTCCTACATCGTGAACATTGTGAGAAACCCTGTGGTTGAGTATGAGGGGGCAGGGAGGCTCTGGAGACCCTGTGTGTGTGGACTGGCATAAGGATGAGTGACAAGAAGGGAGTGGAAAGCTGCTGTGAGGACTGGGAGAAGGCAGGTGGTGTACTGCAGAGATTGGTCCTGAGTGAGGAGGTTTGGTGGAATGTTTCTTGGAAGAAAGAAGAAGAGTAATTGAAATGTTGGTTGATGGTGAGGTCATAGGCTTGGGAAGAGGTTGATCAGGAGAGTCAGGGCAGGGTGTTTCAGTAGGAGCTTTGACGTAGCATTGTGGTTGGTTTGTGGAGGGTGCAAAAGGCTGAACTGTTTTCCCCTCATCTTCAGCAATGTTTCTTCAACACAACACTGGGACTTGCTGACATTAGGGGCCCTAGGCTCTAATTATGGGTGGGAGTCTGCTGTTGTCCCCTGCCAGCATCCTTAACAGATCCAGGCTTTGGGATCGCTCGCCAGGCAGCTGCTGAGCACAGAGAGAAGAGAAGGACAAGACAGTTTAATGCAGAGATAATAATTCATGATCTCATGAAAACAGGAAGAACTAATGATTGCCATGGAGCAGCCTGATTGCCAGACAGCAAGCGCTGACACGAATAAACAGGCTGACCGCAAACCAAGAGCCAAATGAAGGAGACATCAGAAAGATTATGTAATAATATTTATTAAAGAGCTGGAGCTATTCTTTCTGCAAGCTGAACCCCTCCCAGCACCGTGGGCTCTGTGTTCCACCAACATCACCAAGTTGTATTGATTATTAATGCTTAAGCATTAACACATTTGCTTAATCTTGGTGTGAGCTTGAAAAGGGCCAGACATGACCCACATGGGGATAGGATTCCAGTCCCTTAAGGGCTGTGTGCTGCTGTGTGCTGGTAAAATAAGTCTTGAACTTTTTACACCATTTTGTGTTTTCTTCTCATATGCCATTAAAGGGAAGGATGTTAATGGAAAAGCTCTGACAACCCTGTTGAGACATTGAAGTGTTGGACTTTTATAGAAACAATGAAGCAAATACCCTAATGTTTATGCTAAAAATAATAATTACTAGAAGGGAAAAAAACCAAAGCCCCAAAGGGAAAGATTTAGCAGTCAGATGCTTTCTAAAGGTCAGGGGGTGTGTAACAGCCTGCAAGGGCCATTGCCTCCTGCTGGAGGCTTGCACATTTGCCTGGTGAGTTGACAAAATGAAGACTAGAACGCAGTACTTCGTATTTCTATTGCCCCTTTCATCTCTGCATCTCAGGGGAGACTAAACATTGGGTCTGATCCAGAGCCCACTGAAGTGTGCATTCACCCATCTGGGAGAGAGCTCCCCATCCCCACCAAAAAGAATGTCACTTTACTGGGAAGCTGATTTTTTCCCATTTCTTCTTCAAAGCTGTTAGCTTTAGTGGCTCGAGAGAGAACACAGTGGGTTTGAATGCAAGTTGCTGAGTGGGTGCCCTGTGCTTCTGCACTGGGACTAGGTGCATCCAGTGCCCACTCCCACGTTTAATCCAAGGAGTTAATTAGGACTGGAAAAGCCTTTTGTGGTACTGGAGAAACTAGACCTTTTTCTCCACATTCCACAAATATCTTTGTGCATGGGGCAACCACTGGCATGGGATAGCTCTTTTCCCAGGCTCAGACCCTGTGTTTTGATAATTTGCTCTCATGAGCATCCCTAGTAACTGGTTCATTGCATTTGGCAGACCAAGGACCAAAATGGCCCAAAAGCAGCTATTTAACAACTGCTGTTTGCTGGCTCCTCTCTGCTTTGCAGTGAAGTCTGTGTTTTCACTGAAACAGATACATTCCTCTACCTTTTCCCCTGTAAAGCACCAAGCAAACAGCACCACCAAACTAAGCAGAAGCCCACAGACTCTGTGCCATATAGACATTACTGTATCAACCCCTCTTGAATGCATTAAGTAATCAGTGGCTTCAGTGGAAATAGTCACCCATGACGATTGCCAAGCTGATTACAGCAGTCCCTGGTGATTAATGTTTGTGCAGTATTTAGTCTTAAACCATATTGAAAAGCAGCTGCTTTAATTACACGGACTGCCAAGAACTTTGTCCTGAAGGCATTGAGTTTATCACATCCACTTTATACTTGGATTCTCGAGTATGACAGGCTCCTTTGTTAGAAATAGGTATTTAAGGAAACTGAGAACATTGCAAATTATTCATTTTAATTGAAATTAAACTGGTTTGAGCCTTCACGTCAGAGCCTGCTCTACAGCTCTGTGGTTTGATTTAGAAAAGGAATATGCTTGCATGTGTGTGTGCTCATGGAGAAGGATTGTCTGTGGGACATGCACCATGACCTCAATATTTAGTTTTATGAAGCACTGGGTCCATGGCTCAAAGCTTTCCCCAAGCCTGAAAATGACTAAGTAGGTGGCTTTAAAGGCAAAAGTCTCCAAGAGTGTGTATCCCTTGCTGTGAGTATGCAAATGCTGCTCATCATTCCTCTGCCTCGTGAGATGTGTGAGCTGCCTTGGAGCTGATTTGCTCTGAACTGGCATTTGAGTGTTCAGTGGGAAATACATTTCCAGCTCTAAATAGATGCCAGGCTTAGGCTTAGTCTCAAGTTGGCGAAAGAGAATAATGTTTGAGTGCAGAGTGTGCCAGGGCAAAGCTGAGATCTGGCAAATAGGGCCAAATGCCGAATCAGAACCAAAAGATAGGGAAGGCTTGGCTTGTCTGGGAGCTAACTGGGATGGATTTGAATTCTGGGCCCACCAGCCACTGGCAAGGGTGAGATATGAGAGAACATGAGGTTGAGACAAGAGAAGTCAGGGGACTTTGCCAGTAAGGTTTGGGTCTTGGTCCTCACCATGTGCTCCTTTGGTCTGTGTCTTGAGTCAGATGTGCAGAGATTTGTGGGCTGTGGAATGCTCAGTAGAAGCCATGCACTGGTGGGACAGGAGCTTCCACCTTCAGGCACTTCACTTCAAGGGGGTCATCCTGCCTGACAATGTGATGCCTGTGCTCTGGCATTCCAAAATGCTTGGGCTGTTCACCCAGCTTTGAGCTGGGCAGGAGAAACCCTACAAGAAATGTGTGGGGATCAGGACATGCTGGGAGACACCTTGCTGAGGGGCTCCCGTGAGCTGTTCCTGAGGCAGCAGTGCCATGGTTTCACAGGGTTGTCCCTTGAGGTGCCACTTCATCCTTGGAGTTTTTCAAGACCAGTCTAGGTCAAACCCATAGCTGACTCTGCTTGGAGCATCTTTTCCACCCTGAGACCCTGTGCTGCTGGGGTTGAGTGGAGACTCTTCCATGTGAGGGAGGGGGCCCAAGGGATTGCTTGGAGCCCTGTAACATCCAAAACAGGTACAGGGCCACTTCTCTGGCCATGAAGCCCAGTGGCAAGGCACACAGCTCAACCCCTAAGGCCATACTCCCCAGTGAGAAGACCTAATCCACATTGGGCTATCCCTTGCACCTTAGAAAGGTCTGGCTGGCCCAGAACAAGTCATCCAGGACATGGACAGGCAGTTCTAGCAACTGGCAGACAGCTTGAACATGTAAATTTGTCAGGCTAGATCCAGACCTCTCAGCAAACCCATGCCACCTCCACACCCTGGCGTACCAGGAAGTGTTGGCCTGTTTTGGCTATCCAATGATCATGGCTCCTTGGGTGGGGAGAGGGGGTACAGCCATGTCCGGGTCTTATGGAAGTTGTTAAAATAGTTCCCAGGTGCTGTCTGAACTTTCTGGCTCAGGATGGTTTTCTCAAGTTGTGCTTGCATTGTGTTGGTGTTTTCCCACCTGGTGATGTAAAAGTTCCATTCCATGAAAAAGCTGACACCCACAGTGTGTGTGCCATTGGAGGGATGCTGTCTAGGTGAGATGGATGCAGCAGAGCTGTGATTATGAAGAAGCCCAAGTTCTACAGGAAGGGGGAAGAGCAAAGCCTAACTCTGGCACCAGCCAGAGAACATGCATGGCCGTCAAAGAGCCGTCAAAAAAATCAGAGGGACCAGTCCAGCATCAAATCATAAGGGCCAATAAGCCAATTTAGGGCCTCTGGTGAGTCTGAGTGCCTCTCTTCTCTGCCCAGCCTTCCCATATGTACACAATGATCTTGCAGCTGTTAATGAGACTCTTGCAGGTCAAGGTGTGCACTTTTTGATCACAATTCCTCCTTGGTCTGGAGCAGTTCATCCCTCTATCATCCTGTCCTTGGTGTCTCATCATTGTAGTCACAATTTTATCTCCTTGTTCACAACTCCTAGTGTTGTACTGTCGACCAGGTTGCTGATTTAGTGTCTTCTCATGAGAGAAGTTGATATGTAGCAAGGTGTCACAATACAGCTGTCCCCTTCCAGAGCCCACAGCCAGCTGGTCCTGGCACGTGGTGTTCAAGTTTCAACACTAGCCAGTAACATCTGAAACAGAAGCTGGGCCACATGGCTCCATCTCTTTAGCTAAAAAAGCTTCTCAACAGACTTGCTCCCATTCAGCAGGCTCTTAATTTTTGATGCAGCCCATTGCTAACATATAATGGGTCCATTTGTAGGCCAGTGGGTTGACCATATGGGAGAGGTTTGCCCCCAGCAGATAAGAAACTATCATTTTTATTGTCATTCTCTGGGTGACACCACACTGTATCTTCATGTGGAACGAGAGGGTTCATGTGAACTCTGTATCTTGCTTTTTCTCCGGCTTGTAAAATGAAGGTTTTTAGTACTTATTTCCCCACCTCACAGATGTGTCATGAGGTGTAATTAATTGAC